CCATGCCAAACAGCCAGGAAGATCATAGAGTGCAGATCACTCAGAGAGCAAGTAAGGAGAAAACGAAATGCTCAATTTTTAAAGACCACTCAAACCATGAAGAAAAGGCGAATGTGTGTTTAAAAATGTCTCGACAGACAACAGTGAAGTGAAGTTTTGAGGGGTGTAGGGGGAAGTGGGATGGAGGGAGTCAATGGGGAGTAAAAGGGGGACATCTTTAATACTTCCAACAATAAAGATAAATTAAAAAAAATAAAAATAAAGAAAATGCCTCAACATTACTACTAGCTAGAGTTGCATAATTTGAAAAGAAAAACCTCTTCAATTTTAGCAGATTAAAATTTAACCCTGTTGAGACCAATAATAATAAATATTTAAAAAACTTGCTTATTCACATTTCCTACCAGATAAAATGTTTCATTCTTCCATTTGTATATTTGACTGAGTTTTCTGTATGTTTTATTTTTTTACCCCTTTTACAAATTTGGAAGACATCATGTACATATTATTTCAGTTCTCTCCAGCACCTAACAGGCTGATAAGACCAAAACTAAAGTGTTTTAATGCTTTAAATCAAGCATGATAAAAGCATGTATCAATGAGTCCAACTCCTAGGGTTAGAGTGTATAAACACTGCAAACACTCTAAAGAGGTGCCTCATGATTAAGAACAGAGGAATTATTGAGCATCATTCCTAGACCAGTCCCACAGATGCAGTAAAACAGTCTATCTGGCTCGTGAGCTGGGTCTGACTGGGTGGCCAGATTTGGGGTAGGTTTCAAGGTTGAGAGTCTAGTCCTTGGGTCTAGGTTTAGCAACAACTTCTCAATTTACTTAGGAGGAGTTGTGGTAGGGAGGGAAATTATGGAAGGCCCATTCAGGTAGGTAAAACTCACACGCCCCGTGCACCAGTTCAAATATTTAGTCCAAGAGCCAAGATTATTAACCCACATTGTGTCTCTTCAGAATACTAAAATGCAAATCAGGTTTCTTGGTAAGCATAGGACAATGAGAAGTTAATAATACTGTTAACTTCTTTTTAAACAAGTGTTTTTCAAGCTTATTTTTATCATGGGACACTTTTCATCAAATATATCTTTTAATACCTTGTAAAAGATCTTGGCAAATTCTGGTAAAATTACAGTAAACTTACAATAAAAGAAAGTCAAACAAATAAGTATATATTAAATGTTAAATCTCATTAGTAATCAAAGAAATTCAGATGGAAATGTTACCAATTCTTCAGTTATTAAATTGACAAGATTAAACAAATGACAATACAGAATGGTAGTTAAAGTAGAGAAATGGGGACATAAATTGTACAATTTTGAATTAGCCCATGTGTAGTTTATTACCTTTTACCAATAATCTCATTTCTAGATAAGTTTCATTTTAGAGAAATTATTGGGCAAGTTCACAATGTTCATAAGAGGATATATTCTCACAGCATTTAAAAAATATATAAAACACTGAAAGCAATCCAAATATCCTACCTATAGTTGGATAATTATAGTACATTTGTACAGTGTAATACTCTGTAGCAACTAAAATTATGATCCAGATGACATTTACTGACATAAAAAGACATTGAGATCTAATGGGAACATTAGTATTATAATATGAAGTGGGAACATTAGTATTATAATATAGTATTATAATAATAAGATTGCATTTTATAAAACTATATGTTTTATATTTTATACTGGTAAAATTTGAGGGAAATTAGTTTCCCTTATTTTTTAATTCATGTTTTTAAAAGTATTTTTACAATGATTATGTATTATTTCTATAATTTTTTATATAGTAGAAATATTTAAACCCTTTAAATAAATAAATAAATAAAAATCTGAATTTAGTGCATCTTTCCCTTGAATGATGAAGATGGAACACCAACACACTCTCATTTTCCAGTTGTTTGCTTTCATACAATCACTCCTTCAGTCTTTCAAAAAGTGTTTAGTGATTGCCTGCTAAGAGAGGCATGTGCTAAGGAGATTCCTACATTCCTAGTACATTTGTCATTCATGTAACAACACCTTCTGCATTCCAATAGCTTACTATTACAGTCTTTAATTTCCAAAGTTGAAGTATTTTTTTTACACATTTCATTTTAAGGTAACTACTTCTAAGATGACATATAAAGATATACGTTAGTGTCTTTAATGAGTTGCCTCTACAATATTTGCTAAAATGAGCTTTTTTGACCTTACTGACTTTTTAATTTCATTGTAATTGTTGCTATTGGGATGGGGTGAGGAGAGATTGAAGTTCATATTTGTTGTATACTCTATCCTCAGTGCCTAGAAGAGAAACTGGCATGAGAAGCTCAATGAATACTTGTTGAATGAATCAGATCATGTATCATAACCCGATACCAAGTATTTCAGAGAGAGAGAGAGGGAGAGAGAGAAAGAAAGAACTCATGGACATGGAAAACAGTGTGGTGACTGCAGGGTGGAGAGGGACTAGTATAGGTGGAAGAAGTCGTAGAGGGGATAAATGGGGATGGAAAAACTAAAATAAAATCAATAATCATAATAACAGAAAGCAAGATTTTTAAATTTATTTTTATTTTATTTAATTTTGCTTCCTAGGTCTACACCAGCCATGCAAGCAGCTGCTCTGGGTTCTTCCATTGGAACAGCCCTTGTTGGAGGGCTGATCACAGGTCAGCATAAAAATAAACCCTTCCCCGTAGCTCATGCTCTCAGCACGATAGATTATTCATAAACATATCGATTGGTAAATTTGAAAATGTACTAAACTTCTGACAACAGTCATGTAAGTGCAAGGGGATGCTTTTATAACAGTAATTACTTTAATTTAAATATTTACTTAATTACTATGCAGGTAAGTTTTCCTCATCAGCGTCAGTGTCATAACATGACTTATTTTCTCCCCACCTTCACAGGTTTAATTCTAAAGTTACCTATCTGGGGACAGCCATCTGACCAGAACTGCTATGATGATTCTGTCTTTTGGGAGGTACTGTGCACTGTTCTAAATAAGGATGTAAATGATGACTCCACTAGCAAGTTTTGCTCACCTCAAGCCTAGATGTGTGTGTGTGTGTGTGTGTGTGTGTGTGTGTGTGCATTTGTGTGATGAAATTAAGTGAAATCCCATTAGATAGAGAGAAATTAAGGTAATGTGTGCAGACAGATAAAATCAGAAGTTATGGCATTTTACAAAGCAGATATTAGATGAAGAAAAGACTGAAGCAAGTGTCCTTTCATTCCTCTAAGAGTTATTTAAAAACCTACTTATTAAAATAATAGGGACCCTGGGCATGAAATTGTATAACATACAAAAACATAGGCAAAAGTTGGTGGAACATAAAAGGTTGGAGAATCTCAGTGAATTCACAATAAGAGGTTCTGTGAATAACAGAACATCAGCCTCTTTCTATCCTCCGGTTTCTACCTCTTTATTCCACTGTAAATAATTTTCTCCCAAATTATTTCTGCAAAGCTTAAGAGTGAGTGATGTTTGGGTGTGTTCAGCAAGATTTTTGAAGAGAACAGACTTGGGAAAAGGGAATGCAGTCAGGGTGGGTGTAGTAAATATTTTTGTTCTTTTCTTTTTTCCCCAACAATTTTTATAACCTATTCTTTCTAAGCATGGAAAATAATTACAGAAAATACCTTGTTTCAGTAGTAATCTCTGACAGGCCCAGTGAAAGAAGCTTATAAAGTGTCCTAACCTTGTTTTCTTTCAAGGTCCCTAGGTGGAGAGAACATGACCATCATTTCCATGAACACCATGGCCACAACCACTTGGAACCTGAACTCTAAGTTTCATTTCTCTGCCTCAGCTTCCTTTCCCTTCATCTAGAATCAAGTTTAAATAGACAAAAAGCATCCAACGAAAATATGGACCAGAATGGAAGATCCTGACCTGAAAATGTCCAGTGTAAAAATGTCTTAGCATAATGTTGTGTTTTCTCTTGATATTCACTGATTGTTTAGTTGAGGGCATATGGCTCATAAAGCAGATGGTCAAGCCTGGCCAGTGTGGGTCAGTGGTTGAGCATCAACCTAGGAACCAAGAGGTCACTGGTTCGATTCCCGATCAGGGCACATGCCCAGGTTGCTGGTTCAATCCCCAGTAGGGGACAGCCAGTCAATGATTCTCTCTCATCATTGATGTTTCTATCTCTTTCTCTCTCCCTTCCTCTCTGAAATCAATTCTCTCTCTCTCTCTCTCTCTCTCTCTCTCTATATATATATATATATATATATAAATAAATAAAATAAAAATCTGAATTTAGTGCATCTTTCCCTTGAATGATGAAGATGAAACACCAACACACTCTCATTTTCCAGTTGTTTGCTTTCATACAATCATTCCTTCAGTCTTTCAAAAAGTGTTTAGTGATTGCCTGCTAAGAGAGGCATGTGCTAAGGAGATTCCTACATTCCTAGTACATTTGTCATTCATGTAACAACACCTTCTGCATTCCAATAGCTTACTATTACAGTCTTTAATTTCCAAAGTTGAAGAATTTTTTTACACATTTCATTTTAAGGTAACTACTTCTAAGATGACATATAAAGATATACGTTAGTGTCTTTAATGAGTTGCCTCTACAATATTTGCTAAAATGAGCTTTTTTAACCTTACTGACTTTTTAATTTCATTGTAATTGTTGCTATTGGGATGGGGTGAGGAGAGATTGAAGTTCATATTTGTTGTATACTCTATCCTCAGTGCCTAGAAGAGAAACTGGCATGAGAAGCTCAATGAATATTTGTTGAATGAATCAGATCACGTATCAAAACCCGATATCAAGTATTTCAGAGAGAGAGAGAGGGAGAGAGAGAAAGAAAGAACTCATGGACATGGAAAACAGTGTGGTGACTGCAGGGTGGAGAGGGACTAGTATAGGTGGAAGAAGTCGTAGAGGGGATAAATGGGGATGGAAAAAATAAAATAAAATCAATAATCATAATAACAGAAAGCAAGATTTTTAAATTTATTTTTATTTTATTTAATTTTGCTTCCTAGGTCTACACCAGCCATGCAAGCAGCTGCTCTGGGTTCTTCCATTGGAACAGCCCTTGTTGGAGGGCTGATCACAGGTCAGCATAAAAATAAACCCTTCCCCGTAGCTCATGCTCTCAGCACGATAGATTATTCATAAACATATCGATTGGTAAATTTGAAAATGTACTAAACTTCTGACAACAGTCATGTAAGTGCAAGGGGATGCTTTTATAACAGTAATTACTTTAATTTAAATATTTACTTAATTACTATGCAGGTAAGTTTTCCTCATCAGCGTCAGTGTCATAACATGACTTATTTTCTCCCCACCTTCACAGGTTTAATTCTAAAGTTACCTATCTGGGGACAGCCATCTGACCAGAACTGCTATGATGATTCTGTCTTTTGGGAGGTACTGTGCACTGTTCTAAATAAGGATGTAAATGATGACTCCACTAGCAAGTTTTGCTCACCTCAAGCCTAGATGTGTGTGTGTGTGTGTGTGTGTGTGTGTGTGTGTGTGCATTTGTGTGATGAAATTAAGTGAAATCCCATTAGATAGAGAGAAATTAAGGTAATGTGTGCAGACAGATAAAATCAGAAGTTATGGCATTTTACAAAGCAGATATTAGATGAAGAAAAGACTGAAGCAAGTGTCCTTTCATTCCTCTAAGAGTTATTTAAAAACCTACTTATTAAAATAATAGGGACCCTGGGCATGAAATTGTATAACATACAAAAACATAGGCAAAAGTTGGTGGAACATAAAAGGTTGGAGAATCTCAGTGAATTCACAATAAGAGGTTCTGTGAATAACAGAACATCAGCCTCTTTCTATCCTCCGGTTTCTACCTCTTTATTCCACTGTAAATAATTTTCTCCCAAATTATTTCTGCAAAGCTTAAGAGTGAGTGATGTTTGGGTGTGTTCAGCAAGATTTTTGAAGAGAACAGACTTGGGAAAAGGGAATGCAGTCAGGGTGGGTGTAGTAAATATTTTTGTTCTTTTCTTTTTTCCCCAACAATTTTTATAACCTATTCTTTCTAAGCATGGAAAATAATTACAGAAAATACCTTGTTTCAGTAGTAATCTCTGACAGGCCCAGTGAAAGAAGCTTATAAAGTGTCCTAACCTTGTTTTCTTTCAAGGTCCCTAGGTGGAGAGAACATGACCATCATTTCCATGAACACCATGGCCACAACCACTTGGAACCTGAACTCTAAGTTTCATTTCTCTGCCTCAGCTTCCTTTCCCTTCATCTAGAATCAAGTTTAAATAGACAAAAAGCATCCAACGAAAATATGGACCAGAATGGAAGATCCTGACCTGAAAATGTCCAGTGTAAAAATGTCTTAGCATAATGTTGTGTTTTCTCTTGATATTCACTGATTGTTTAGTTGAGGGCATATGGCTCATAAAGCAGATGGTCAAGCCTGGCCAGTGTGGGTCAGTGGTTGAGCATCAACCTAGGAACCAAGAGGTCACTGGTTCGATTCCCGATCAGGGCACATGCCCAGGTTGCTGGTTCAATCCCCAGTAGGGGACAGCCAGTCAATGATTCTCTCTCATCATTGATGTTTCTATCTCTTTCTCTCTCCCTTCCTCTCTGAAATCAATTCTCTCTCTCTCTCTCTCTCTCTTAATATATAGTCAAGACTACTCTTAACGAGTGGGTAGATACAAGATGAACATTTGATACATATTCATATATATTCCCAATGGAAGTAGATTTACATAGAATCAACATTTTCTAATCATATCACTTTCTTAAATGTAGTTACTATGTCTTCAGTCCCAAAGATTATACAACTAAAGCCAATGAAACAATAATGTATACATGAATCTATTTAAGAAATATGTATTGAGAGACTAATTTTAATTGCAAGTGCTTTTATCTAATGGAAAAGGATATCAAAAAAGAACTACCTACTATCATTATTTCATCTTAAGGTAAAAAGATAAGCCTGACATCACAAAAATGGTGTGGACATATTCAGAATAAAAGACAATTATTTAAATAAAATAAAATTTAGCCTTCATAAAAAACTAATAAATTCTCAAACATACTTTAAAAAAAAGACTGTAAGGAAGCTCCATCTATTTTACTCTTTGATTTGGTATTTACATACCTAGCTAATTGGTTCTCTCTTACTCTCTTTCGCCCTCAAATCTCTGGAGAAACATGTACATACATGCAAACACACATGATGTATTGATCGCTGTACAGATTCAAAAACTAGAAATACATAGAGCAGTAATATGATTATTTTTGGTAGTGCTTTCTTGATTTAAAAAATGGTAAGGTTAGTAATGTTATGTCTTTGCTTCAATATTCTTATGCTTAATTTGTTTTGTATGTTTATGATTTGCCAAAAGAACTCACATGCTGTCTGACCAAAGTCTATTTTGTATAAAATTTCAATGAATTAAATATTATTATAAAATATAGCATTAGTCTTTGGTTCTCCTTTCTTTCTTTCTTTCTTTCTTTCTTTCTTTCTTTCTTTCTTTCTTTCTTTCTTTCTTTCTTTCTTTCTTTTGGTTATAGGAATTCATTTTAATAACAACCACATACACACACATGCACACACACACATACTCATCATATTTAATCCATAATCAATCCAAATAAATTGTTACATTATTATGTATTCACTATAAATATTAAATTAATGTCTTATAGGATAAGTTTTAAAGAACTGAGTTTTAGGAAAGGTAACTCATCATTATATTTAGTCATATAAAATCATTTCTAGAAAAATAAAATAAATTTTTCTTCTTTCTGAAAGCTTTTAATAATTTTTTTTTCTATTTCTGGTATCCTGGCATCTTTCCAGGATGTACCTGAGCATCACTAAGAAAAACAGCCTTGCTGTAATTGATAGAACTTCAATTCCTGAATGCTAGAAATTAAAAATTACAATAGCAAATTATTAAACACTAGAGGTCCAGTGCACGAAAGTCATGCACTCGGGAGGGGGGGGGGCGTTTCTCAGTCTGGTTGCCCTCGGGGCATGTCTGACTGCCGGCTTAGGCCTGCTCCCCATGGAGAGCAGGCCTAAGCCGGCAGTGGGACATCCTTAGCGCTGCTGCGGAGGTGGGAGAGGCTCCCGCCACCACCACTGCTCTCACCAGCTGTGAGCCCGGTTCAGGGCTTCTGGCTGAGTGGCCGAGTGGCGCTCCCTCTGTGGGAGCACACTGACCACCAGGGGGCAGCTCACATCATAGCGACTGGTCGTTCCGCCGTTCAGTAGATTTGCATATTATCCTTTTATTATATAGGATTTTATTCCTCTGGACAAATAGTTTATTTATAGTATTTTCCTAGACACATAGATGACTTCTTTTACATGTACATCAGTTTCTCTTTCCGATGAACTTTTGGAAGTGTGCTTGTTTATAAATATGAAGCCCACTGTCCCCTCCTTGCTAAGCATCACAAAGAATTATTTTTGCTACCAGGATGTCCCAATGCCTTTCCTTCTGTGCTGGTCATAATGGAAAACTTGCGTTTACTCAGGTACTCTGTAAATTTGATGTGCTAAGGAAGTGGGAGGTGATGGTCATCACCTCTGACTTGTGAACACTCCCTCCTAACTTCCTGCAATGCAGTTCTGATAAACTGTAACATTTTATTTTTTTTAAAATTCTGAGTTAGTGGTCTTTATTTCCAAATAGTGCATATCCTCTTTTTATCTGTGTCGCCTGGAATTCAACGATGCATTTTAATCTGAAGATTTAAGTCTGCTTCTGCTCAGATAAACTCTCATACTATTTAATAACTTCCTCTGCTTCATCTCTTCATTTTTCTTCTTTTAGCACCTTTTTTATTCACTCAGAAAGTCAACTGCATTTGTTATCCAAATCTATTATTTTCTTACCTATTTCATTGGTTTTAACAGAGAATCTCTGTTCCTTTTATTCATCTACTGTGTGTGTGTGTGCGTGAGTATGCCAAGGCCTAGCCCAACTCCAAGGCACTAAAACAATGATTTGGGGGATGTTTATGCCTTATCTGTTCCAAAATCATATAAAGTGGAAAATAACACTACTTAGATTCATTGGATGATTTAAAAATCTCAAACTCTACTCAAATGGCCTATTTCTGGAAGTTTTTTTTGTGTTTTTGTTGTTGTTGTTGTTCACATTTTAGATCCGAGACATTAGTTTTTAAATTATTGACTATAATTATAGACAGTTGGTGAAAATTTACCTGTTTGTAGACTTTACCAATCTTTGTTTCCATCAATAATCTCTTAAACCCTTTATTTTACAATTTGAGAAGGTTTTGCCTAGGGAGGGAAGGATATGAGACTATACTTTATTCACCTGGGGATTTTATCAGAACTGAACAAATATATTCAAGAGCCATAATTTACTGATTAGGTAGCCACTTTCATCAATAACTGGTTACAGTTTTGTATAAGAGATCATATATATATTCTATTACTCTATTTACATAAAGTACCAAATAGAGTGCTTGGCATGGAGTAGATTTTTTTAAAAATAAAAGCTTCTCTTTTTCTCTTCTCAAACGCATTTTACAGAGATGGATGTGATTAAGAGAAAGGAGGCCTAGTACTGCCTTTCTTTGGGGGGCGATACACCTTTCATTTGTTTTCTATCCACAACAGAGCTGCTTCCATCTCACTCAGTGATTGGCAGAAGAGAGAGTACGTTGTCCAAATGGTGTTATTAACTTAGAGACTGAGATTTTAAACACTTGAAACATGAAGAGCTAGACTCAGCATAGGAGCTCTCTGCAGTTACATTCTGCCACCTGGAAAAAGCTGATTTGAAAGAACCTACTTAATAAAGGATAAAGAGATGCAAACAATCCACAAGGATTTTTAAACTGATGACGAATAATTCCTGAGTCCCAGCTACCCATGCATTGCTACGTTCCTTAAGCATAAACATGCTCATAAACGTGGGTTTCTGAACTTATAACTGACAGAGGGAGAGTCAGGGAGACATCAAGGACTATGCACTCTTGTTGAAAAGATGCCATGGCTCCAGGCTTTCTAGAAATCCACTGTGAAATCCTCCAGGCTTTCTAGAAATCCTGAATCACAGAAAAGGAGTAAGACGCCACGGTGAAGCTCTCAAGCTGTGGTGCAACACAGTTCAGCTCAGAGTGGAAAAATAAAAAATAAAGAACATTGATCCAACTGGCTGGAAGGGGTCGCTGTGGAGGCAGGATGGCCAGACCAGGGCTGGTGCTGGATGCAGCGGGTGGAAGTGGTGGTCCCAGGAGCGAACGCTAGGTGGCAGCGCTGTGCCTGCGCTAGTAAGCGCTCTGCGCCAGCGGCGATGTCAGCAAGGTGATCCTTGGCGCCTTCTCTGCTCCCAGCGACTCTCTTCCCCGCATCCTGGCGCTGTGTGCAGACTCCCACCGCTGCTGAGTGCCCGGCGCGTGCCCCGCGCCTCACCCCCTCCTCCCCTCTGCCCAGGCGCCGCCTCTTGCGCCTGGGCACCCGCCAGTCGCACCATTGCCAGAACCATTGCCAGCCCGCCGCTGTGACGCAGTGCCTCTACCTGCGGTCCTCGCTGCGGGTCGCCTTTGGAAAGTATTTATCGTCCCTTTAGGTGCACGTCAGCGTCTGCCAGTGTCCTATGCGTACACTGTCAAGGACACCATGCCCATCGGGGTGGTCCTCCCTTCTGATCCTCATGAAGGAGAAGCAGAGGACCAGGTCCCTCCTCAGCATCATCAGTGGCTGCCTGGTGGCCGCTGTCTCCAAGCTGTAGTGTGACAAGCTGGGGCTTCTCAGTGCTTTCTCATCCACACTGTGCTTCTTGCTGCAGAATATTTTCTCCATAAAGGTACTGAGAGAGTTGTGGATCCGCCATTTCCAGCTTGTGAACATCTTGGGCTGCCACACCTCCTTGTTTGTGATCCCCACTTGGGTCCTGGTGGACCCCCTGCTTTCCTGGCCAGCAGGGACCTGACCTAGTGTCCCAGTGGCCCTGGACACTCCTGCTCCTGCTGTTAGCACCTCCTCCCCATCAGGACAGGGGACATGAGCAGTAAGGAGCACTACCAGAGCCCCCTGGAGATGTTCCACCACAGAGTCCTCTTCCCCCAGCAGGGGGACTGTCCAGTGACCACAATAACATCTTAGCAGACCACTTCCCAAACTCCGACAATTTGAACCACTCTGACGTACAGAGCCTAGAGCCGTGATTTTCAGCCACAAGAATTTTGAGAACATGCAATACCTATTTAGGCAGGGGCACTGACCTCTTTCCCCTTAGATTGTCACATTTACAAATGACAACAGCCAACACAATAGCCGTCTGGTGTGAATGAATCAAAATTATACCTATATTTTTGTCAGATCGACAAC